TTCTTTTTTTCTCCTTCCCCTTCCTTTGCCTCTGATTGCAATGATATTAGAGCCATGAGATTGGGCTGCAGTCTTAAGAGCACTTTTCTGGGAGTAATCCCTACTGAACAAAATTACTTATTTCTGAGTAGACCTGCTTGGTATTGCTTCAATAGTTATTGAAAAACTATATCGTATCTCAAACGTATTGAAACAATTTTAGACTTATTTATAGGTTTGCAAAGATAAAGCTATTCTGAAAACAAACCGGGACATTAATAGCAACGAGTCTTTCAGGATCCTTGAAGGGTGAGTAATAAATCTGTTTTAAATTTAAAATTCATTCCATAAAGATGCTCTAAAACCTACACATTCCAACACAACTGTAAACTTTTAAAATGGTAAAAGTATAAACTGATCAACAGCTTATTCTTTCTATACCCAAGTATATTAATAATGTACCTGTATTACACTGTTCGCATGGCCAATTTTTATAATACTCCATTCAGAATGGGGGGGGGTGTTCACCCCTTTTATTTTTGAAACAAATTATTTGCATGGCTTTGATACAGACCAAGATTAGGACAGAATGTGTGTTTTTACAGATGCTAGGAGCTGATTCTCACTGCATGAGGCCATGTCAGATAATTTGTCCCATTGGCATTGTCTGCTCTGCCACACTGTAGCTCTCCAGAGCCTCTCACAGAGAAAGGTCTTTCCAAACATTTTCTAACTGACAGCCTTTAGCTGGAGATACCTGGGACTTCTGCATACAAAGCAAGTGATCTACCAGTGTGCCAAAGCCTCTCTTCTATTATTTGTCACCTTATACTTGGGCAAACACAAGTAAAGAAAGCACTTTCCATTACTCGCTGTTGGTGCCACATAAATGACACACGCAATTGCCACAAAAGCAGCAGCAACAGTAGCAGCAGCAGATTAGAACCACGACTGCATGCACAGTATAGGGCAGCAAAGAACCAATAAGTAAACAGTATGTGGAGATGGGCAGAATTTTTCTGCATTGGTCTTTCCCATTATGAGCCACAATATGCATTCTAGTGGGTGGGGTTCCAAGGCCTTTTTTGGACCAGTAGTGGATATCTCTAGCTCTAGGGTCTGCACATGGGTCTTTAATCAAGCCTGTACTCATTGGGCCCTAACTAGGTGGGGAAAATAACAGACTATTGTCTTATGTAAAACAGAGAGCAAATTAAGGGGTGCAGGAATGACAGGCAGGAGAGGGAAAGTTAACCCTTTCCCTGCCACTTTCATCCCATCTTCTCCTCAGCCTTGTTTCTTCCAAATATTCTCTGTGAAGGCCCAGCTGGAAGAAACAGGACTGATGGAAGTAGGAGAAGGGTTGAAGGTATGCTTGCCTGCAAATCTCCCAGAATTACAATTGATCTCCAGGTGACAGAGAACAGTTCCACTGAAGAAAATGGCTGTTTTGGAGGGTAGACTCTATGGCACTATACTACACTGGAGTCCCACCTCAGGTTCCATCCCCCCCACCCAAATCTCCAGGGAATTCCCAATCCAGAGTTGACAACACTAGTCGGGGGGGGGACGACAGGCCTGGAACAGATTCCTCCTCCTTTTCCTTCTTTCTAATCCTCTCTCACCCTTGCTTTACAGCTACGTGACCCAGCACTGAATATGAATCATATATCTAGAATTCCAGTCTTCTGTCCATCAGTACCTCAATTCAAAGATTTTTTCATACATGATGAAACATTATTTTCACTTGGGGTCTGTGCAATTATATTCCTTCACAAGCTATTCTCCCTGGGTTGCAATATGAAGGATACCCCATTTAAAAGGATACCCCATTAAAACAGCTTTGTTATGATTATAATTTTAAATACTGATGTAATATTATTATTAATTAGAATAATAAGTCTCTCGTGTGTGTATTCAAAAATCATACTATTGTTTCACCATATACAGGATATGCTGTTGTACAATTAATGAGTGAGACCTTCTCTAGGGTCATAGAGCCTGCAAAAGTGCTCTCAAACCTAGGGAAAAGGTTTTGAAGAGGTTTGGCTGATATTATGCTTCAGACTGTAAAACATAAAAAAATAGTATAAGTAACGTCAGCTTGAATGTCAGTTTCAAGTAAGATTACTGTATGTGAAAATAAGTTATTCATTTCCACTGAAAAAAAGAAAGGATGTTCAGAAAGAACAGGTGACTATACGATAGCAAGGACCTGGAAGAAAAATAATCCAATGCTTTGTGTTATTTGAGTGCATATTTCTTAACTTTTAAGGTCTGAGGAGTTGATTTCAACGTCCATATACTCCAACTATTTAACTCTGAATCTAAATTTCTACAGAAGTCTAAATTGGCTTAGAATGGAAAACTGTTGTATGGTACATTTAAGCATCAGAGTTTCCCCCCTTACTGATACTAAAACAAGAACAAACATATAACATAAAGCTCAATAACATGATACATATTGTCTTCATTCTTTTAAATGAACATGTTCATTTAACATAATAATATTATAGGGACATTTAAGCACACTGGACTAATTCTACTGACATTTCATATGTAAGGTTAAACTAGGGCTGTCAGTTTAGGACAATACGATACTCTTACCTCACAGTATACCTTGAAGTAACTGGTAGGACAACAAGCTTTATCATGTAATGGAAAACTAATCAGAAAGGTCCTCTACTTTGTGTTAAATGTAAATAGGTTTGGTGATACTTAAATACAACACAGGAAGGAAACATATGACTATTTCGGGTGGATGATCTTACTTGTATTTTATTTATATCCAATTTTTCTTCCCAAAGGGGACTCAGAGTGGTTTATCAGATCTTACTCCCTTCATCTTCTCTATTTTATCCTCATTACAAGAAACCTGTGAGGTAGGTTAGACTAACAGAGGAAGTGATTGGCCCAAGCTTCCATGGCAGAATGGAGATTTGAACCAGGTTCTCCCAGATCGTACACCAACAGCCTCGCCACTGTGCCCCACTATCATGAACAAAAAATGCTCATGAGATAGCCTCCTTTATCTGGTATCTGATGAAGGGATCCATGACTCGCAAAAGCTCATATCCAGAAAATCTTATTGGTATTAAAGGTGCTACTGGGCACTAATCTAGCTGTCCAAAATGCTCCTTAGACAAACAGAGGTTGGTGAATTTTCTTCCTCTTTTGTATACACAGATGTCAAACCACAAATTGCTTTCTAAGACTCCCTTCACATTCAAAAATTGTAACCTGATACTAGAGAACCTGATACTATACACCGACTTCTGTGTATTCAACTGTTTGCATGGTTCCTTGCATTCTGACCAAAATCCCAAAGATCCCAGAGTGCAAATGACCAATGCATTGGTAATTGCCATAATTAGAATGTGTTTTGGGGGGGAGGGGGACTGGAAGTATATAATGATAGCAGACTCAGTAATACTTTGTTTTCAGACTGAGAGAAGTATTTCAAGCAAATTCAAAACTCGAGGTTTACCAATCCATAATGAAAACAGATTCTTAGATATCTCACTTTTTGTAAAAAACATAGATACACTCCAATTCCTATGATGTATTACTACACTTTTAACAGATACGGGTATTCCTCCTCTGGTCTAATTCTATGAGCTGCTATATTTTCCAGTGCATTTGTAGTAACAGGCAGAAATACTGCTGCTTTGGGCAACCCAAAATTAGGTTTTGTGCTAATGGGACTGTCTCAGGATTGCTGGTGTAGAAAAACAGGTCAAAAGCAACAGCCATCACAATCAGATTTGGCACAGTGGTAATCTTCAAAGCATTGAAATGACAAGTGATAATAGGGCAAGGTCCTGGATTGGAGATAATAATCTCTAACACTCCACAAGCCTTTTAGTTAACAAAGTTCCATAAGGTGCTACCATCCAGAATACACAATATTGGGCTGGGTTCTATGCAGGACCAGAATAAGAGAAAGGTGGAAGAGGATATTTCCTGCCTCTCCCTTTCCCCAGCAGCCACCAGTGAGATTCAAAAAGATGATGCCAAGGATTGAAAGACCAAAGTGAATGAAAGGCCATGCAACACAAACAGTTGTACTGAGGAGGGGAAGGTGGTAAATGACCCCCCCACACACACACCTATTCTGCCAGTGGCTTTCACTTATCAAAGAGGCCAAGAGGGACAGTTTCCCCCACTTTGGCCTTCTTAGTGCAGTTGGCTATGTTGTGTGACTTTTTGTCCAGACAGGTACTCCCACCCTTTAGTATCACTATTTTGAGAAAGTGAATGACAAGAACCTTTTTAATCTGATGAAGTGTGATGACTTTTTGTCCAGACAGGTACTCCCACCTTCAGTATCACTATTTTGAGAAAGTGAATGGCATGAACCTTTTTAATCTGATGGTGTGCATGCACACGAAAGCTGATACCCAGAATTAAACTCTGTTGGTCTTATGGGTGCCACTGGACTGAAACTTTGTTCTGTTGCTTCAGACTTACACGGTTATCCACTTGAATCTTTTTAATATGTGTTAGATGTTCTCAGCTAAATTAAAGGGTATGGTATTAGAGAGATGAAGTAAGAATAATAGTATTAGCCCCTTTTTGTATACTTCTGTCTTTCTTCAGATCCAATAAATATAGCCACTCCTATTATTTCTAGCTATTTTTGAACATTTTTAAAACAAATGTTCATTTACACTACAATCATCAATGTGAAAAGCAACATTCCTTGTATGATACAATATTATAAAGGGAATGTTATGTCACATTGACTGTATTCTTGTAAACAGAGAAAATGCAGTTTGTTTCACAAAGTATTCATACTATCTCCTTTCAAGACTTTTGTCAATATGTCTATAGTAACAGATAACCATGCCTAAAATCAAACAGTTCCATCTGTAGTTCCTTATCAGAAATGAGTCTAAAACTGGTGCTCATGTATTCTCCCCAAGCCTCCTTGCTTCGGTGGTGAGAGAAGTCTTTTAGCTGACCAGTGAACAAACTGGATGTCTGTTCAACTCTTGTTCTCTTTCCAAAGCTATGGATGATCAGGATATCTCCTTGTCCTCTTCAGGAACAACTTCCAAGATTATTTGCAAAGATGAAGTTATCCATCCTGTAAAACAGAAGACACGGGAGACTTTTAAGAGAGCTTTTAAGCCAAACAGGCCAATACTATTTTTTTTTTAAGGTTACATTGGCTTGTCAGCTGAAAATACAGTAATTCTATCTTCTTAGGCCACTAAGAAATAGAAAAGAAAATAATTATACTTGATAATTTAGAACTTCAAAGACATGAATACTAAACATACATTGACCAAAGCATGTAGTTCAGACCCTAATCCAAACTATATATTTTATGTATATCCATAGCATGGGAGCTGGGAAATCCCTTTTAAAATGAAAAGTTTCTTCTGATTGGGACAGATGAGAGTGGCAGAGGGATGACACTTAGTGCTTTTCTCTAACTCTTTCACCATTACACATCACCATTCCTGGCAGTCCCCCCCACCCTTGAGGATGCTGGATTGTGAGGTTCAGGATTGCTTTTTACATCACATACAAATTCACTGACACTCTTAAATATCTGTACCTAAGTAGGCCTTGAAAGGAAAAAAAATATGGATTATAGTTATAAGGATTATATGTATAAGGGACACTACAGATTTCACCACAAACCTGTTTGACAGTCAAATGTACTGCGTTTAAAGCTGTCAATCAGATGTGAGCCAATAATACAGCCTGCTTGGTTCATGCTGAACAGCCGTGAACACCTGCCAGACAAGTTTGCATTGGGTTTTTGCAAAACTGTGCATGCACAAAGATGCTGCTGATTCAAACCGATAGACAACAATTATCATCACTAAGGATTACTAAAACCTAGGATTATATTAACCCAGTTTTTGACAAGGTACCTCACCAAAGACTCTCTTGAGTAAATTTAGCAGTCATGGGATAAAAAGGACGGGTTCTCTTATGGATTAAAAACTGGTTAAATGACAAATAGATCAAGACAAGAAGGGGGACCCACGATACTCGCGGCGGGGAGGAGAAGCTCCATGGGAGAAGGAAGCAGCCGCAGGTGAATCCTCTCCCCTGTCCCCAGCACCCACGGCGAGGCCCGCACCTCTCCAAGCTTCCCCCCTCCCCTAGTGGCGGCGAGGCCTTGCTGGCCCACCAAACTTTCTCCCTCCCCCCTCAACAGCAGCGCGGTGAGGCCCTGCTGGCCAATCGAACTTTCTCCCTCCCCCAGCGGCGGCAAAGCATCTCTTGCCTGCCAAACTTTCTCCCTCTCCCCCTTCAGCAGCGGCGGCAGCCCGCCAAACTTTCTCCCTCCCCTGGTGGCAGCGAGGCCTCGCTGGCCTGCCCACCTTCCTCCCTCCTTCCCCGGCGGTGGCGAGGCTTCACCGGCCCGCCAAACTCTATCCCTCCCCCCGGGCGGCAGCGAGGGCTGAATGGCTTACCGTTGCCGGCTGGCCAAGCCTTCTCCCTCTCCCCCTCCCCCTCTCCGGTGGTGGCAGCGGTGGCAAAGCCATTCTAAGAGCATTCCCTGCGCATGTACAGGGGATGCTCTTTTACTTTTTTGGGATTTAATTATCCCACTTGTATTTTTTACAGTTTTCAGATTTTTCTGCACACCTGGGCATTGCCCCACATGCGCAGGAAGATCTCCCTGTCCCCCAGGTGCCCCCTATGTGCGGATTTAGATTTCCGCATGCAGGGGGCACCTTGGGAATTAGATATATAGATGGGTAGCCGTGTGTCTGCAGCAGTAGGGTGTGAGCTTTCATGAGTCACTGCTCACTTCTTCAGATACAGCTAGAATGGAAGTCCATCTGTCCTATTTATTGGAAAGTGGAGTGATTTCAGATGCTGAATGACATTAGCAGGCAAATGACAATAGCAGGTGAATGACAATAGCAGGCATGCTTGGATTTAGGTGAGATATGCAGAAGGGTAATAGGCATGGAGAAATCAGTAATAGTAATGAGACAGGAAACCTAGGTCTCGATTCAATTGAGGAAGCAAAGAGTAGGAATAAATGGACAGTTCTCACAATGGAAGGAAGTAAGGACCAGTATTGGGGCTGGTACTATTTATGGTACTATTGGGGCTGAGAAGAACATCTCTCAGAATACAGCTTATGTGTTCTACAGAAGTCTAAATTGGCTTAGAACCATAAACCTCCCTTACAAGGCTTTTGAACAGATTATGTAATTTGACTCTGAATGCCCCCTATAAATACGAAATATTCTTACGGATCCTTTCTTGGAATAAAAACAAAAATGCAAAGCTTTTAGTTTAGGATAGATTCAGACCCCAATTTCCATCGTATTAAAATCCCTTTTCTTTCCTGTGAATTGGGGGTGGGGGAAATCTGATCTATATCAGCAGCTATGAGGATATTTATACTGTGGTGTGCTGGAACCGGTGCCATCTCTGAAGGTCTAGGAGACCATGCGGGGGTGGTATGTGGAATGGATCTGGTGCCCTCAACCCATGCCGTTTCAGACACCTGCACTTGGACCGAGCTGCCCTTCACGTCTGCTTCAGCCGCTAATCGTTTCCATTTGCACGCCTGTCGTCTTTTATTTAGGGCTAGGCACTTTCGATGCTAATAGAAACATCAAGCAGAATTAAACTGTATCATCCTCAGGGCAGATGTCTTGGTCTCCGCCAAATAAAGGAAATTTGTAATGCAATTATTATTTTTTTTTTAAAGGCAATGTGTTTTGCGGCAGCAGTTGCTGAGGAATATCATAGCTGGTGTGCATTTGGCTGTAATTCAGACCACAGAAGAGTAACAAAGGTGGGTTTTAAATCCAATCCGTTGACGGCAATGGAGCTTTTATTGCCCCAGGAACAAACAATGGACATGTGAAGGGGTGTCACATGCTCCGAGCACTGTCTCCTCTATCTGGTGAGGGCACCTTTTTTAATAAAAAAAATTATTTAAGTGAGGGCACTTGAAGGTTGGAAGCTGAGGGCTGTTATGGCCCAGTTTCCTGAGATTCAGATTTAACTCAAAATGAGAGGAATTGAACCTGGGACTTCTGACATACAACGCAGCTGCTCCCCCAGTGACCTGTGACCTTCTCTGCGTCAGGCGACGTGACAGAGGGAATGCTTTTGGAAACACAGTTAGATTAAAATGAAAAATTAATTTTTTTAAACAGTTACTGGAATAGACTCCAGTCAAGAAAACTGGCATTTCTAAAGAGATCACCCTGCCAAGTGTAATCAATACATTTAGCAGGAGTATTTCTGTCTCACAGAGAGAGGCCTTGTCAAGAGCAGTTACAGGTTATTGACTACAGTTCTGAAATGAGACCAGACACACTTCTTTTTCAATTATTTTCTTCACATTTTTATTCCACCCTGGCTCCAAGAAGAAAAGGGGAACACACGTGGTTCTCCCTTTCTCCGTGTGCTCCTGACAGCCACCCTGTGAGAAAGCGAGTGGCCCAGGGTCCCCCGGTGGGCTTTGCGGAGACTTGAACCTTGCGATAAGTACAAAAGAGGGTGACCAAGATGGTTAGGAGTTTGGAGCATCTTTCCTATGAGGAAAGGCTGAAGAATCTGGGACTTTTCAGTTTATAAAAGATGACTGGGGGAGGGAAACATGATAGGGTAGAGAGAGTTGACAAATAATTTTTTTTTCCTCCCTCTCCCAAAATACTAGAACTCAAGGGCATCCAATGAAGCTGATTTGCAGTAGGTTCAGGATGAACAAAAGCAAATACTATTTTACACCAAAAGTGGTTACAGTGTGGAATTCACTGCCAGAGGACATAGTGATGGCCACAGGAATAAACAGCTTTAAATGGGCATTAGATAAATTCATGGAGGATAAGTCTACTAAGGCTACTAAGCCTCTGAATCCCAGAGCCAGGAGGCAACATCAAGGGAAGGCCTCAGCCTCTATTCCCTGTTGTTGGCCATCCAGAGGAACTGGGTGGCCAGTGTGTGAGATAGGATGCTGGACTAGATGGACCATTGATCTGATCCAGCAGGGCTCTTCTTATGTTCTTATCACTGAATTTTATGATTTGTGACTAATTTAATTACCTATTTAAACAATTGCCTGCTGTGTGGAGCAGTTATCAGCAAAGTTTGGGTTGGCAGTAATAGTCATCCAGCTGCATGAAAACATACATGAATAAGAAGCCAATTGCAGTGTAGTACATGGTTAGTAAGGAATACAGTGAAGCTACCTGTTCCCACAACATCTGATTGTTTTGATGCACAGCCTGTATTCTGGACAAGAATATGGGGAAACAGATTGGTTTCCAAAAGGCAAAGGTATGAAACAAGGGTGTATTTTATCTCCCTGTCTCTTCAATCTATATGCAGAACATGTCATAAAGAAATCTGGATTAGATTTAGATGAAGGTGGAGTGAAAACTGCTGGAAGGAACAGTAACAATTTGAGATATGCAAGTAACACCACATTACTGGCAGAAAACAGCTCCTAATGAAGGTTAAAGCAGAAAGTACCAAAAAGCAGGATTGAATGACTACTGGGGAATGACACAACTTTAAAAGCTGACAGCAAAGAAACTGAAACTGTTAAAGATCTTCTATTCCCTCGGCTCCCTCATCTACCAAAAGGGGGACTGCACCCAAGAAATCAGGAGAGTGAGACTGGGAAGGGCAGCCACGAAGGAGCTACAACAAATTCTTAAGGGTTAGGGTGTGTCACTGGTGAACAAGAGGAAGAGAATTCATACCATAGTATGTTCCACTATTATGTATGTGTGGGTGTGAAAGTTGGACCATGAAGACAGCTGACAGGAAGAAAGTTGATTCATTTGAAATGTGGTGTTAGAGGAGGGTTTTACAGATATCATGGACCACCAAAAAGACAAGTAAGTGGGTTCTAGATCAAATCAATTCTGAACTCTCCTGAGAAGCTAAAATGACTAAACAGAGGCTATCGTACTTTGGTCACATTATGAGAAGACAAGAGTCACTGACACACTGGAAAAGACAATAATTCTCAGAAAAACTGAAGCAGCAGGAAAAGAGGAAGACCCAACATGAGATGGATTAACTCAATCAAGGATGCCATGGCCCTCAGTTTGCAAGACCTGCAAGGCTGTTAACAATAGGGCA